CGACGTGAAAGGTGCTATACAAATGTAATCTTGTACCTACGATATTGTAGAATCTCCACACAAACATGGCTCGCTTTACATCAGCACATACAAATGAATATCCTTCAATTTACCAATATGGCTAATAATACTTACAGGATTCAAAATCCTAAAATCATTCAATACATTGTCAACCTTCTTTTCATGACTTAACTCTCCTTTCTCTTTGGAGCATTGGGTGATATTGAATCCCACAGGTGCTCCACACAAAATCAACACACCAACTTTTGTCACTATGCATTTCTCAGCAAAAAAGAGCAGGATAACATTGAAAATCTTGGACATCCCACACCCCCACAACCAACAGTGTGTGAACACTAGATTCAAAAATAGATTTGATGAAGAAATGCCAATACAGAATTAACCTTCTAAGTCAATAATAATTGACTCCTTATTTAAAGCTCTACAACATTCTGAATCAATGAGGGAGAATAACGAACCCCACTCTAGTGCCACAATACTACAAACCTGATCACTATCCCCGCAATGAATTTAACAGCAAAGGCAGCCCTGGAGGAGTCTATGTGGAGAACAAAGATAACCACCTTAACTGAACACAGGATATTCCAGGTACAGTAGTACCATGAAAAAGAAGAAACCAAAGCCAAACTTTTTTACCTTTCAATCGTATTATTCAGGAATAATGCCAAATTCAAAAATAACTCTTGTATTAAAAAAAAGTAATCCAAACATTACGCATTCCCACATATTCCACTTGCAAGGCTCAGTGTATTGTGGTCAATCCACTGCAACATTTTATAGCACCACATTTTACAATCCAATTTGTCCTGGATATGGTTTTCTATGTCTCTTTTGTTTTTTGTTCACATTGAAATGTTGACTGAATTATCAAATATGCTGCAGTGACACAACATTTGAAAAAGGCGATACCCCCACTTCACCCCCTCTTGCTCCACCTCCTCAGACTTCTCCTCTCTCTTCTCTCAACCTCTCCCTTCACATCCACTCTGCTACCCATGTTGACGGTCACCCGCTCGACCTGGTGATCACCCGGGGCCTCAGCATCTCGGATGACACCATCACCGATAAGGCCATCTCTGACCACCATTGTGGAGTCCTGTAGCTCAGTGGTTAGAGCACTCGCTTTGCAAGTGAGAGACCTGAGTTCAATTCCCGGCAGGTCAGGGCGAAACCTTGGGAAAGTTTCCTTACTCCTCATGCCTAATAATAATCCCTCCAAAACNAAAAAACAATAAATTGGTCATTTTCAATCTATGACTGTTTGTGGGACATTGCTGTGCGCAATTGGCTGCCGCGTTCGCCCACAAATATACAGTCAATTCACTTTACAGTGTGTTCTGTGAAGCGCTTTGGGACGTCCTCCCGAAAAGCGCTATACCAAATGCAAGGATTATTATTATTATTATTTAATCTCTCTAAACTCCTATATCCCTCTCCACACTGCCTCCAAACCTACCACCATCTTCTACTGCCCGTGAAAGAAGATCTCCCCGCAATCCAACTCCGCTGCCCTGGAGTCCTCTGAACTCCTCCCTCTCTGGCCCACCTCCCGCACCAACCCAGCCTCTACATTTACTCTCCTCCACAGCACACTCTCCACCACACTCAATGCCATTGCCCCCCTCACCTCCCGAACTGCCTCCTATTCCCGATCCTCACCCTGGTTCACCAGTCACCTCTGCTCGCTCAAGGGCCAGGTGCGGGCTGCCACCCTCCCCATGAGCCCCTCCAATCGAGTTTTCGTGCTGCCCACAGCACGGAAACTGCTCTGGTCAAGGTCACAAATGACGTCCTGACCATGTGTGACCAGGGCTCCCTCTGCCTCCTCGTCCTCCTCGACCTCTCCACTGCCTTTGATACTGTGGACTCAATCCTCCTCCACCACCTCTCCTCCCACCTCAACCTTCAAGCTTCTATCCTTGACTGGTTCAGGTCCTACCTTTCACAGCGCCTCCACTTTGTCTCTGCAAAGGGCTTCTCCTCCAGCCCCCGCACTGTCTCGTACGGTGTTCCTCAGGGCTCTGTCCTCGGTCCCCTCCTCTTCACCCTCTGCATGATCCCCCTCGGTGACATCATCCGCAGACATGGGGTACATTTCTACATGTATGCGGATGACATCCAACTCTGCCTCTCTGCCTCCGCCACCCTCAACTCTAGGACTACAGGCATCCTGACCGACTGCCTGTCCGACATCAAGTCTTGAACGAGGGACAACTTTCTCCAGCTGAACGTCAGCAAGACCGAGACCCTCCTGATTGGCTCTCGCCAGCGCCTCCGCATCTTGGGTGCTGGAAGCATCAGTATCCACGGCTGTACACTCAATCTCACTAAGCCAGTCAGGAACCTGGGTGTCTTGTTTGACCCTGAACTGTCTTTTCTCCCTCACATCCGCGCCATGACTGGCACTGCCTACCACCACCTCCGCAACATTGCCAGACTCCGCCACTGCCTCACCCCTCAGGCTGCTGAAACCCTCACCCATGCATTTGTCACATCAAGGCTCCATGAGGGAAACTCCCTCCTCATCGACCTTCCCAATTCTTACCTTCACAAACTGCACATCATCCAAAACTCTGCAACTCGTGTACTCTCGCTCACCAGGCTCCGTGACCCCATCACTCCCACCCTCGCCGGACTCCACTGGCTCCCCATCGCTCAGAGGATCGAATTTGAGATCCTCATCCTCACTTTCAAGACCGTCCATGGCCTTGTCTTCTCCTACCTCTCTGACCTGCTGACTCCTTCCAACCTGCCTGCTCCCTCCATTCAGCAGGCTTTGGCCTGCTCCATGTCTCCCGCCCTACCATCAGTGGCCGGACTTTCAGCCTCTCTGCCCCCACACTCTGGAACTCCATCCCAGAGTCTCTTCTCTTCGCTGCCTCCCGACATGAAAGGTGCTCTATAAATATAATTTTGTTGTTGTTGTTGGAAGGGAGCAGATTATAAGGACAAGCAGAGAATTGAGCAGGGAAAGAAAGTCAAAGGAATTTTTTTTAGATGTAGAACAGAAGATAATGAGATTAGAGGTGTTGATGGTGCAAGCCAAAAGGCAATAGGGGAATTATAGAACGTTAGAAACTCTAAATCATTGACTATCCATCACCTTGGGATGTCTTCCCGATATGAAAGGCAATATACAAATATAATTGTATATTGTATTATGAATGCAAGCAGAGATTGCCTGAAACAACGCAGAAGCACATTTGATTACAGAAGATTAAAAAAGATTGCAAGGCTGAAATGTTAAAAATCATTAAGGTGTTTGAATTTGTATGACACTTATAAGTATGACACTCATAGTCTTGTCCGATCGAGGGTCGACCAAAGACAATACCCCTTTTTGCTTTATTTTGTCCTGCCTTTACTAATGTATCTGTGAAATAATTACAACTAACATCACTTTTGTGGCTCACCATCAGTGTCAAGCACTAACTATGCGCAATTACCAACACTGGAAAAAAACACTAAAACTGGAAAGAAATAGAAATGTTGTTAAAGTCAATGTTAAAACAGGTGCCAGAAAGTAAATTTGCTCTTTAAAGGGGATCGCTCCCAATGAAAATTATTCCTTGGCAAGTAGACAAATCAAAGAAATTCACATCATTCAGCCCTTCTTCCTCTTCAAACTAAAGCTTAAATGCACCTTATGCATTTTGATGATGTACAAAACTAAACTTCCCCATTAGACATGTGTGTACATATACACAATGCACACTCAGTAAGATTTTTAATGGGGTTTGCAACATTTAAAAATGAAACAGTTGCATAATGATAAAAGCAAATACACTGACATAACACCAAAACTACTGGTGGGCTAAAGAATTCCCTGCCTTAATGAGATACCACCTGGTGGATTGCATTTATGTGAGCATCTGGAGAGGGAAGAGCATTCCACCTGGAGCATTTCATCTCTTTTTCCATTTAAGAAAAGTCAGCAGAGAACAACCAATTTTTGCTCAAACTTCTACTTCAAAACATTATGAAACACATTTTGTTAATTTTGCAGATGGATCACCATTAAAGTCTTGTCATCACTAATCTAATAAAAGAGTCCTTTAACAGGTTTTATTATTTACAAAGCTAATGAAACATGCCAACACCACCCATCTATCTCAGGCTATCTCCATAGGACTCTGTAGAGGAGAAAGAGGGTGGCCCTCCTGTGAGTTAGGACTGCAGACACATTAGGCCAGGCTTCCAAAGGAATATTTTACACAAAGAAAGTTGCATTTTATATATTCCAGGAACCTATGAAGGTAAAGATTGAAAATGGCAAAATGGCAGAAATGTTGTGTCCAATGTTGTGAGAATCCTGCTGGTTGCGACAATTCCTGGGCAATAGGTGTCTGCAAAGTCTTCAAAACACCTGAGCCCATGAAAACGTCTTTAACATTCCCCTATAATTAAGCTTATCACGTGCTGCAACTTAACCACAAATGCTCTACCCATTATCCACCGCCAAAGGACACATGAAAAAGAGCACAATCAGCACAACATAATCGACAATTTGAACATTCTATGTTATAACATATCTATGTTAGTGAAATTTATCTCTTATATTTGTTCAGAATGTCAGCCACAGATTGATTCTCCTTCACCACCCAGATGGTATTAATGATTTGATTAATGCTTCAAAATATTTTGTCCGACAACGTAATCAGAGCTCTAAGTACATTACACTTTGAAAAATGTATTTTAGGAACACTATTTCATTCATTGTTATAGAAAACAGAAAACACAAGTAGCATATACTTAAAGGACCAAAATCCCTTTCTGTTGCCTGATTGGCTGCATTTAAAAGTAACATTTATAAAGAAAATTATATTAAAATGTCATTCCTGCAACCAAATTTAACATCAGCAACATTATTTTTACATTCAGATCCAAAACTGGTATGCTTATGATTCCAAGATGATATGGCAAAAATATAGCAATATTGACTCTAAAGCAGCATGACTGAGTGATTGAAGCACAATTACCTTGTACTTCTGTTTCGATTTAGCTGGTTCTACAAACTGGACCTCAGCAAGGATCTGCTCTGCTTCTGTCAGCCACTGGTCCAAGCCATTCAAATCGCAATGGAAACCTTGCCATTTCTCAATGGATCTGTCAAACTTCCTAAAAAAAGGATACAAAAGCATTAAGCATGAGCATGATTTAGCACCATTAACCAATGCGTTTACATTTTTAATGCACAACTTAATAACAAATAAATCAAAAAAAAGCAACTCTGACATCAGCTGCAGAATGTTGCACTTCAAACAATGAAAGGTCATATAAATGTTCAAGGTTAAAACTGACATTGAAGATTTCCAGTCAGAAGTTAGATTATATGACAAAGATTGAAGAGTTAATTTATATTCTCCACCTTTTTTTCTGTGAACATTCTGGTATGTAATTACATTCATGTCCAGAGATTTCTTCTTTTTAAAATAATATATATTCAGTGCAAGCTGAAATTACAGTCCATTCCCTTCAGGGAATGTTCATTCCCACTGCTCCTCTCAATTTATATGCCAACACATTCACTGTACAGTATAATACTGCAATAAATGGACATAAAGGGCTTTTCAGGTAGAAAATAAGTTTGTATCCTCATGTTTGAATACACTGGGTATTGTATTTTCTTTGGTACAACAATGGAAATTACCGTAATACATTGTGAAGATAATTTTGCAAAAATACCAAAGATCACAAAAGTGCTGACTTTTAAACTATCTGTCATTTCACAAAGCTATCTGTGGGTTTGTAGTTTTGTGCCAAAAAGCCTTGTATCACATCAGTCTGTTTAGAATGGCTTCTGAGATGTCACGAACCTTGGACACAATAATAATATTCTTTGCATTTGATCTTGTGCCGTTATCACGTCATCGAGACATCTCAAAGCGATCCACAGCATTTTATTGTAAAGTGTCGTAACTGTGAACTTGTAGGTATATGTGGCAGCCTATCTTTCATAGAGAACATTTTTCTGCCTTATATTGTAAAAATCAGGGACTGTTTACAACACAGAAGGAGAACATTTGGTTTGTCAGATCCAGGCTAATTCAAGCTTCACCCACACTGGAGTAATCCTACTCCCTTGCTCTGTCCAAATACTGTGAATGCTTTACCTTTCAATGCAATAAATTCCTTACATTTGGTTGAATCCATTTCAAGCCATGCAGTTAGCATCTCGGATCACTTAACAGTAGTGGAGCCCGATGCCAAGCTGGGGGGAGGGGGAATGTAACCTTAGGCACGGTTGAAGACGAAAGTTTTCAAGCGCAACCTGAAAATTAGGAAAGACGAGGGGCAAGGAGAAGGGATTGAGGGAGAGAGTTCCACAGTTTCAGGGCTGAGCATTTAATAATGGAAACAGTGGAGCAATAAGTGAAAGGAATTTAGAGATGATCTGTCAGCAGCTATACCCCTGTTAGCTACTGTTGTCATTCCCAGTAAATACTCAGCTGCAGTCAGAAAAAAATGGCTGATATTCAGATGCAGCTCTGGCCTCATCTACTGTTAATTGTTACTGAGAAAAAGACACTTCACTAAGGTTCTCTGTACATGTAGATAATATATAAATATATACAGCATCATCATATTGCTTACCCAGTGATTTTGCACATGTCACATATGCGCCGAATAAAGAGTTGCAAAATATAAAGGCTGTGGTAGCACAATGAGTGATGGTCATGTGTCAGCTCAGCATTACCATGTGACCGTCCATCACAGCACAGCTAGCAGTCTAATGTAAGGAGCAGAATTAGATCTAAATCTAAGTCTGAAGAGATGAGGGTGGAGCTGGTACCTGGGGCTGGAGAGAATTGCACAGATAGGGAGGACTGAGGGCATAGACTGACATTGAGTTGCTTTTACAATACAATCTATATTTAAGCGCTCTGAGACGGTACCCTGCATGGAGGGCAATATATAAATGCAAGTTGTTATTGTATTTATACAGCGCCTTTCACATTGGGAGGATGTCTCAAAACGCTTTACACAGATGTCTGGGTACCCAAGCCAGTAGGGGTAGAGGGAGGGGTGACAGGGCAGAAGAGAAAGAGTGAGGAGGGAAGAGTGAAAGCTGACTAAAAGTGTGGCCTAAGAAGTAAGTCTTGTGGCTTTCAGGTGGAATTCAACTCAAAACAATTCACAGCATTGTGATCCTCCATTCTGCTCATTCAGACATCCTTATTCAGTACTTAAAGGGGCTCGTCACAAAGTGACTGCTAAACTAGCAATCGTTTATTTAAGACTGGATTTTCCATTATATTTGCAGATTGTAAGCCCCCAAGAGCTTATACCATTATGCATCTGATTTGTTTACATACAACAAGGCATACTGTGTCATGGGCTATGTTTACAGTGGTTGCAAGACATACAAATAAGTGTTCTAGTTTTCAATATAACTTAATTATTTTCTTCAGTTTCAAGATTTTCCAGTTAATGATAGCCTTGAGTTCTGTTCTTCTGTTCGTCGTACAAACCAACCTATTGGATTCTCTTTCCTCATTATGGTTAATCTGTGTAAAATTATGGACAGATCTGCCTGTGGGAAAGCCCAATGGGAACTGGGTGGAGGCTGCCCAAATTAACTTAATGTTTTCATCTCGTCAACAGAAGCAGAATGTTTATAATCCACCTGTTGGGAATTGGTTTAAACACAGGTCCTGGAGGTTAAGAACACAATGCCCCATGCTGGTCTTTTATATTCTTAATACATCATGTTTAAACCTTTGATATTCATTCAAGTATATAAATAGTTGAACCAAAAGGCTATAAATAGGTGAATCATAATTATTTCAAATTGGTTGTTTTTATATGTCAAGAATTTAGGACCTATACGACAAAAACAACAACTTGCATTTATATAGCACCCTTATAAATGCAAGTGTATACACCTTGGAAAGCTGAAATCCAAAGACAAGCATTTCTGAGCAATCTGATTTTATCAAACAAAAACAGAAGTCACTGGGAACACTCAGCAGGTCAGGCAGTATCTATGGAGAAAGGAAAGTGAGTCAATGTTTTGGATCCACGACCTTTCATCAGGATGGGACATGTTGGGAGGGAGAGGCTTTTAAGGACTCACAGAGATGGGGGAGGCAGGACAAGGAAAACAAAGGAGAAAATGGGGTAGAGGGCAAGGGGTGATGGGTTAAAGAGGTGTTAATGATACAAAACAACAGGGGGGAATGCAACAAAACAGGGGGAATAAAGGTGTTAATAATGCAAAACAAAGGGGGGGGGGGGGGAATTGCATCAAAATAGGCAGATCAGAGAGGGAAATGGGATCCAGATGATGTGGTAATGGTCACAGTAGAAGGGGAAGGGAAAGGTGAGCTGTTAAGGTCTGAAATTGTTGAAATCAATATTGAGGCCAGAGGGCTGTAAGGTCCCTAGCAGATAAATGAGGAGCTGTTCCTCGAGCTTGCGCTGCGACTCATTGGAACCATGGATGGAGAGGTCAGAGTGTGAGTGGGAGGGAGAATTGAAGTGGCAAGAAACCGGAAGCTCAGAGTTGTGCTTGCGGACAGAACAGAGGTGTTCAGCAAATCGGTCACCTAATCTGCATTTTGTTTCCCCAATGTAGAGGAGACCACATCGTGAGCAGCGAATGCAATAAACTACATTGGTGGTAGAACATGTAAATCGCTGTCTCACTTGAAAACTGTTTTTGGGGCCCTGGACCATGGTATGGGACGTAACTTTTCTCTTTGATCTGCCTATTTTGTTACAATTTTATACCCCCTTGTTTTGCATTATTAACACCTTTATTCCCCTGCCTTGTTGCAATCCCGCTCCCCTTTTATTTTGCATCAACACATTTTTAACCCATCCTCCCGTATTTTCTACCCTATTTACTCCTTTGTCTTCTTTGCCCTGTCTTCCCCATCTCTGTTAGCCCTTAAAAGCCTTTTCCTTCCAACATGTCCCAGTCCTGACGAAGGATTGTGGACCCAAAATGTTGACTCACTTTCCTTTCTCTATAGCTGCTGCCTGACCTGCTGAGTGTTCCCAAGGACTTCTGTTTTTGTTTCAGATTTCCAGCATCTGCAGTATTTTGCAATCTGATTTCATGCCCGTCAACATCCAAACGCTCTAATGTAATGTACATTCAGGAGAAAATTGACAGTCATTAGTTTAAAGCAATTCCTCCCAACTCTCTTAAAAATAGTTTTTCAAGCTGATGTGCTGTTCCATGGGCACCAATTGTCCTTCACTACACCTCATAAGTAACTGTTCATGTGTGAGTTTAGAAAGTGAGTTTAGACAGGGAATGTGTTGGGGAGAGGGAAGGGCAGGGATATAATGGAATCCAGTCTCCGCCTGATAGACTCCCAACAAAAACACCAATGCTACTTTGAGTAGTACAGTAAAACTCACATAAATCGCATCAGTCGGGTCCATAACATTGAATATGATTTAGGCGAAATTCAAGTTGCAGGTACTGTATAAATTATTTAAAATCCGATTTAATGAACAATCTACACTGCGCATGCGTAATTCAATTCAGCTGGTAAATGCGTTTGCAGTAGCAGCTCGTCACTGCAGCCGGTAAGTGCGCATGCAGTGACAGATCAAGATTATGTTCCCACAATTCAATGCATCTTGACCCGTCACCACATGAACACTTACCAGCAAGTGTTGGAATCGCATTGAGTCACGGGAAGTCAAGTTCTTCTATGCATGCGTCGACAGGTCAAGATTACATTTTTTGCAATTCAATGCAACCGGCCAGTAAATCGATAGGTCAGGCTGCCATTTCCGGTGATTCAATGCAGCCAGTAAGTGTGGGAGAAATGGAGGATAGGAAAGCAGGATTACGAGTTAGGAGATGATTAATATCAAGCTTACAATAGGATAGGCTATGCACGGTTGTAGAGGAAATCAATTTGATGAACTGAATGGCTTTTTTATTCCTATATCTATTCCTACATATGCTCCTGTATTCTTATCCAAACATACTTTTCCTGCATGTACCACTAGGCAGAGATCAGAGACAGGAATTCTGGCAAATTTTCCCCGTTTTTTAATCCAGGGCTATCAAGCCAATTCTAGCTGCCCACACTGCTGCAGAGCTGAGATTGAGAGGCTCAACAAAGAATCGGAATTAAATCTGGGCCTTCCAG